GAATTGAAGAGCTTCTGAAGGACTTTAAGAAGCTCCGCTGTAATTCCATCCTCGGCTAGGGCTCCGCGTTTTTTTTTCTGGTGCTAGAGAGCCATTCCAATCTCGCTCAGACTGACGTCCGGGATATCATCGGAGTAGTGTCGGATAAGACTTGCTCTTGGATCGTTAGCTGCCCATAGATCTACTATTCTACTATACTACGACTATTCTTCTGTGAAGATCATTTCGATGTAAGTATGACTTATATTTAACTATCGTTTAATACAAAACAAAACTTCATGAGGTCAAGGGTATAGCAAGTCAAATTTTGTAATAAATTACGTTAACTTAGATATTATAACTAATGATTGCTAATGATTGTAATTATAGATAAACTAAACTATGTTTTATCAAAATACATTCTGACCAGGTATTGTGTTTTTGTACAAACAAAAGTTTATACAAAAACACAAAGCAGAACAAAAATTGGAATTGCATACAAAAAATTATGCCACCATCAACTTTTTCATCCTTGGTAAATTAGTACTTTCTGCTTTTACGAATTCGTCTTCAATGATTCCTTTTTAATAAAATTCGGAATAAAACTCAATAATCGTAATGATACCTTGAAAAAATTCGAAATTACACAGCACGTTAGCTAATTCTCTTAATCAGTGGCACAGAACACTAATACACTTAGGCTGGATCAGTGACGTCACATGTTTTGCAGATTTTAGGCACAGACGAAAAAAAATTCTTAAAATTGAAATATAAAATATATAATGCAATTCTATAAACAGAAAATAATTGAAGAATTGAGAAGCGGGAGGGGAATGACATGGAAAGAGAAGGAACTCTAGAAAAAAAAATAGGATCAGGTTATAGAGTAACAACGCCGCTTAGGCAATTTATCTCTGATTGTTCGTCGCTTTCTAAGACTGAGTGTCTGTTCAGATAACCTAGTAACCAATACACTACACCAGAAGCTCGTTCTCGTTGACCGGAAACTGTCAAAAACCCTCACCAAATCTCATACTTGAAAATAATCGTCATACCTCAGAACTTGAAAACAAGTGTAATACCATTGCCAGTGACGACATATGAATCTGATATGTGATCCTTCACTTTATGATGATGCCTTATATGAAAGCCCTAGTCGTTCAGCGAAAACCTAATTAAAACCTATTGCTTGGAGTTTTCCGCGTGATAAACTTCGAAATGAAAATATCCGCAGTAGAACCAGGGTAACCCACATAGCCCAAGTGATCAGTGAGTCGAAGTGACAATGAGCCGGCCATATTGTAGTTCGAAGAACTGACAGCAGATGGGAAAGAAGAAGGGTTCGAGAGTGGCAGCCTCGTACCGGTAAGCGAAGTAGGACGGTAGATGACGACGACCTCGAAAGAGATGCAGGAAGTCGATGGATGCAGGTGGCTCAAACCGTGCTTTATGACATTTCTTGAGGCCAATGTTAAATAGTTGTGATGTGTGTATGATGAAGATGATGAGTCGTAATATAATTCTGAAAGTTGACATTTCTATAATATTGTTTACCTTGTCTTGTTGGCCTTAATTTAATAACAATAAGACTGTTCTCATGGATCGTTTTATCCTTAAATATTTTCAAAGAACTTTCCACCAGCATCGATATAGTTTCTGGTGTCAAAACCAAATTTCGCAACACTTTCTCCAATCTGCTACACACCTCTCCTACGTCCTGTTCGAACGTTGCTAGTCTTTCTAACTTTTTCGCAAAACTTTATGCTTGACCTGTCGTATAAGCGCAAACACAGATGCAATTTACTCATGCTAATCCAACCTAATGACCGATGTAGCTCTTATGCGACAGGATTGTTAGTAGAAGTTAAGATTTCAGTCATAGTCACAGACAATTAAGTTGTATGCGTCGAACCTAGAATTGAAGGTTGATAATGAATAGGAAATTATTATTTTACACAGATATTACACATATATTAATTTAACACATCTAATCAATTCAACTATTCAATTATTGAGTTTTTCCGTCAAGAAATTCTCAGTAGCTGCCCGGAGTCAGGAAGTTGGCGGTGTCTCACCCCCGTGCCTCGGAAAGCACGTAAAGCCGTTGTTTCTGCGCCTGATCTCTCTTCGGTCGTGTTGGTTTACCGTCCCATCGGATTATGAGAGTGAGGGAATAGAGTGCACCTGTGTTTGCGCATACACTTGGGCACTATAATCCTGTCCTGCGCCGATGGCTAGTCTCCGTTGAGGCTGGCTGCCGTGGTCGAAATTCGGTCTAGAGGACATTATTATTATTACCCGTTAACCACTAATGTTAAGTTAAAAACACTTGTGCTAAGAGTGAGACTCAACCCTGCGACGCTTAAAATTTGGCAGTCCGAATCCTAAGATAATGAAATGGTATGGATTCCTTATCCATACCACTTAATAGGCTACTGTAGCTTACAAGTGCTTGTTGGTAACAAAAGCCTATTCACTGGCTTAAAAAATCACATTTCTGTCAGATGTTGACACCGCTTTAATTTGGAACCAAATACTCGCGTCGTTGTACACTTGTTGTATGTTGTTTGCAACTTCATCCGTCATTCACTTAATAAAAAATGATTTTTCAGAATTCTAAACAAATTTATTTATAGAAGTATTACAATAAGTTTAATTACTCTTACGATATAATACTGTGACATGTCATGACAATGTTGCACAGAAATACAGGATAGAAATAACTATTAATCTATGAAAAGAAAAAAAAACTTATTTTCAAATATCAATCTACTGTTTTAACGGAAACTTTTATGCGTGTACATAATATCGTGGAATATAATATCTAAAATTGAATAGAAATATGAAGCAAATACGATTAAGAAAAATACAATTTGGAGCGTTCACATGTAATATTGTTGCAAGATATTAAAGCGAAAGTACAGTGTTATTATTTTAATCGATTTTCAATAACCTTTATCTCGGTCCAAAGAGGGTTAATAATCTCAGGGTTCTTATATATATTTATAACATAATAACTGTCTTGGGACGTGATTTACCCAAACTATTTTATATGGATATACGAGTACTATGCATAAAATTGACGATATTAGTCACAGACCTAGCCCTCGTAGTCCAGTCATTTAAGCTTAAATTATGTAAGAATCTCGGAATTCGAGATACCCAGCTGTAAGTCTGTAAATATTTGTATATTGACACCCTAAAAATTGTCTCAAAACCTACATATGGTAGGGTGTACGCAACTATTAAATTTTAAGGTCAAAGGTCACAAAAATCTTGATTCTTAATCGAGAATAAATGTAGATGTCTATGGGCTACTTACCATCGTGTGGACTGTGTGCTCGTTTGTCTCCCTTAATTTATAAAAAACATGAAACAGATGATGAGCAGCAGTACAGCATCTCCCCAATAACAACTCAAAATATATAAAACCCGACGGCCAAGCATGGCCACCATGGCACATATTCTCATGAGGCTATCTATGGGGGAGGCCCAATGTCTTCTTTTATAGAGTATTAATGATGATAAGAAAGCAATATAAATCTTGAAATGTTCTTAATGATTTCTTATATTTACGCGAACACTACACATTGAAATAATACTAGTTTTTACGGAATTTATCGCGTATCGTTCGCTCCGGGAAGTCTGCAGTCTGTGAACACGTACAGGATCGCCCCCGTCACTATATCAGATTTGATAGACCGCAAATCCTCGCTAAAGAACACCGATTCCTTCCAAGGATGATTCGCGAGGCTATTGAAATCAAAAAACATCCTAATTTCAATAGAGAAGATGGTTGGGTGCTACCATCTGCTTGGGATCCTATAATAAATAAAAATAAATCCCAACCCAAGCATACAACTGCTAGACTTCAAGATACCGTAAGTTCATACTGCATAGATCGGAACAAAAGTTAAATTTTAATCTATGGTAACCGCGGTTAACTATGACATATGGACGTTGAACATCTCAGTCTCGCCCGTGACCATGAGTGCTGTAAAGCGTTCGAAACGTCGGGTATTTAAAAAGTTAAATATACGCGATAAATTCCGTAAAAACTAGTATTATTTCAACTTGAAATGTTCTTTTTATACAAGGTAAAAAGAATGTATCACTACTTTATTAAAAAATATATTTTATAATATTAGATATTATTAAAATTATGTACATTTAAGGAAACTAATTTATTCCTATGGTTCTACGGATTCTGAGAAACATTACACGCTAAACACTCATTTTTGTAGGCTTGAAAATACTAAGTTCAAAATTCATAGGCCTAGGAACATCTCATCTACCTATATTTTATCACAACTACATATTTCATCAACGGATTAGTAAGCTTAAGTAATGATGGGCTGCCTATATAGCTCAAAGAACGGACAACCAGTAGTTCAAAAAAGATTTTGAAGATGCAATTTCAAACCTTAATGATTTTACGCTGTTCGGGTTAGCGGATTGTAAGTCGATCTTACTCTAGATGGAGCAACAACCTGATAGGGCATTCAGGAAGTTGGGGTAGACCAATGTTTAGCATTGGAATCGAGCTGTAATGAAGATGACGATGATGTATTTTATTAATATAAACATATTTTGTTTAAGTAATAATAGCATGTTTATGGATCTTACATAATAAAAGGAATTTTTTAACATATACATGTTTAAGAATTCCACTGGTATTAAAAATTAATAATAATAATAGGTAGTTATTCTCAGTAAAACAATCACGTTTGCATGACACGTAACCGTGGTACATACATATACCTTGTGTACATGTTTCGCATAATAATTTTTAAGTGTTCCACTGTACTAATTAATAGCTCATATCTAGAAGTGTATTTATAAACAGAATAACATGAAGGGATAATATATCAGCGTTAGATCTCGCAGGTGTTATCTACGCTTCCTGCTTCATCGTCGGTGGTGTACTGAGTTGTAGAGGCATCATTCTGTGGTTGCTCTGCTTCTTGTGTTTGTGTTCGCCGCGGGTAGTCGTTGAATATGTGTATATGAGTGACGCAACGTCAGTCGGCCTCGTGCTCGTGCAGCTGTGCCAGCAGGGCGGCGCGCCTGGACTCCAGCTCCGCGTCGCTCCATACACCAGATCCGCCCGATCTGAGATTTAAATATTATAAGTGGTTAGAAAATGCGGTCGAAGCGGTGTCTTTCCGTTTCAGTACGTATACATATGAAACTAATCTCGTAGAGTTTGGAATACAAATATCTTACTGATGTCGTCCAACTATACACCAGTATTACACAATAATCGCAAATATTTTGCATGGCAAACGGGCACGTAGTTCACCTCATGGTAATTGGATCTAGAAAAGCTACTCTAAAGTTGGTAAGAATTACCTCACACATATTGAAGAGCAGATAATATATATAATTTTGTTTTATTGAGCGGATATTACTTACCAACTTTAGTATAACGGATTTTCCCAAAATAACGACTGATTCTATTATTTAAAAGCTACTTTATTACGTCCCCGTAGGTACAATCGGTAAAGGATTAAGGTTAAGTGGCCGGGTAACGAACCAAGAGCCATTTATTTACACTGAACTGTTATTTGTCGTTATTACGTATTACTCGAACAACCTAGGAGTCTTTCTGGATCGCTACCATTTATTTCTGCCGTTAAATATTAGTGCATGCTGCGTTCCGGTCTGAAGGGCATAGAGATGCAACGAATCTGTAGCCTTTTTTATTTGAAGTTGGTTGCAGACGTCCATGGTGGACTGCAAGTTCGTTTTTAACTTCAATTTTATTAAAAAAAACACAATCACACAAACATATACACATACACTCACACACACGCATAGAAGGCCATATTCAAATTGTAAAGGCATATTGTCTGAAATCTGAATGAAACGGACGTTTTTTTAAAGAATTGTTTTGCTATTACTCGAAAATTTGTTACAGTTTAAAAACTTCATTTGTTTCGGGCTTCACTACATAAAACTGAGCAATACCTAAGTGTAATACCAAATTTAATCGATATTTTACTTTCGAAAAATTACTATTCATAACTATTGAAAACGATTATACAGACTTTTTCAGTAAACCGGCTGACGGAACCGTACGTCTACACTGAGAAAAAATTACACAGCTGCATTACCTAGTGGACGAAGAATAACAAATAAAGCGTACTTTTTACTATAGTGTGTGCCAAATCGATTGAGAAAAACGGACAATGACCTCAGATATGAGCCGAGTGTCAAAAGGCGTAACTTACAAAATCGCAATTTAAATGTGATAACAATATTTAAATATTGGCATTATTCACATTTCTAGGTCAGCACATATGTTTTGTTTTTTGTTTCTTAAATAATATTGTCTGTGATTCCTATAAACATCGTAAAATCTTACGGTACATCGCGAAAAATGTGTTATATTTTATATTTCAATTTATGGTGAGTAACGCAGCAATTCATTTAATAACAGTTTCATATTTAAAAAAATATTTGAAGCAATCACCATATTGAGCTTTTGCAAATTCATCCCTTTAAAATAAACAAAACACGCGTTACGTCAGTTCGTTCTAAAAGAAACGTGACAATGGCAGCCAGAGAGAGATAGAATTGACCAAACTGCAGATCGCTTTATAATTAATGTTACAGACAGTTCATCTGAATACACATCAAGTGAAGATACGAGTGATGATTGCACCGAATAAAAATAAAGTTCTTATATAATATTGAAAATAAAGTTTTATCTTTAGAATAAGTACGTACTTATTCGGTGTCGTTATCACTCGAATCTTTATATGTGTTATAAATTAATACTTTTTGTTGTTAAATGAATAAAGTACTTTATGAAAATAGATGATTTTTCTTCTACAGCGATCTTTTACATAACTTTTTAATAATAGTTAATAAATATTTATTATATCAATCATTATAAAAAATACAATAAAAAATCAGAATAAATAAAGAAAGTACTACATATAAAATTTGTCTATATATTGAAGGTTTGTAACCCCCGGTTAAACGACCGAAAAGTCATTGTCCGTTTTTCTCAATCGATTTGGCACATACTATAATAGTACGGAACATTCATCTCACAAGGTCCGACTCACATTTGCCCACCATTTATTACTAATGGCACGTTTAGATTATGGGATGAATAACTCGCCGAGTTATTTGTGCACGAGTACAACGCGTTTACATATTAGTCTGTATTCATTGAACGTAGAATTTTAAAATATGGATGACACACGTCTCGTTGCTACGACATTGTGTCTACTTAACTTTCATATACTCACTAATATTTTAAATTAAAAAATATGAAATTACTGCAGTAGTAGAAATCGTACCTATTAAATAGAATATATAAAAATAGTTTCGCTCTTGTGAAATTTTTAATTTTAGCTGAACAGAGTATATACTTATATTTTTTTCAATTCCATTGAATCGTGCTTAAAAACCAAAATCGAGTAGAGAACAGGCGAATAATCGGACCGAGTAACGAACACACCCGAACAAGTCGTTTACATGTTCGTAACTCGTGCCTGTTCGTCGCCGATCACAAAGGTCACTCTGAAGTATTATTATGTTACGAACGAACGCGAGTGATCCTAATTACATCGTGGACTACTATTATTAATGACACATTTTCATTAGGGTTAAGGGTTCATTACAGTCCTTCAGAAGTCCACGCGACAATTTCATTGACACATCTTCAATTGTTTCTAGAATCATTTATTTGTATTTAAAAGTTCATTGTAGGTACGAACTGTACAACCCCAATATAAGTTATTTGTCATCTAATCTACAACAACAGAAGTCACACTAATGTTACTATAATTTAAATTGCGCGTATAACTGATTTAACTATTATTTTCCCAATATTCACGATGTAAATTTTTTTTACGGCACGTCTATTACCTAATTAAACATTTTTGTAGAAAAATGGCACGTTGATACATAAAGGGTCGCCACTCTGACTTAGGACATACATTGCCTTTTGCTTTTGTATTTACCATATTGTTATTACCACGTTGTTTAGATCTTACATTGGTAACCTTTATGAAACGCCTATGTATTGTATTGTATTTGCGTTCTTATAAACAATAAATAAATAATGTGTATTTTTTATTTAATGTTAGTAAATTTAAATTGCATAAAAATTAAGACATAAATAATAATTTTTAAATTTTTTGACGGCCAGTTTTTCTCTGTCTGTCAGTCTGTCTGTCTGTCTAACCTTCGGATTAGCTGAACCGAATGCGATGAAACTTTGCGAACAGATGGAAAGCAATGCCAAGAAGGCTTATATTTGATCCAAAACAATTGATGTATTTTTTTTGCGAAAAAAAGTCTGTCTATCTCAAACCTAAATAACCTATCGGGGCAAGTCAATAATTTTACGATATTTTAATTTAAATAGGTACGTTGTTACAACATGATCTGAAAAGATAGGATCATTTAATGTTTGATTTGCTTTAATATTATATTCCACAATAATCTCCTAAGGATACTTTCATTTTGAATATGACTTATGTGATGTTTTAAATATGTGGTGAATGAAAAGTACTTTTTTATTAATCAAATTTGATTCGAAAATCCCTGTGATATCGTCCTAGGTCGCAGCGAGGATCTTACTGTCTGTGCTATAGAGGTTCACGTATGGAGCAACACGGGCCAACGGCGGATAAAGAGTAGTAGCCATATGCAGGCGTTCCCCTGCAAAAGTATAAGTCCACGCGATCCTATGCGTATAATTAAAGTAGTTGCAGCCGCACTACTCACTCGACCACAGAACACTAATACCCTTAGCACTAGACTAAATCTAGTTGCGCGGCGGAATCAACGTCCAAATAAAAATACAGAATCAGTTTTTGCTGCAAATGAGATCTGTCACGCCAAATTTACAAAAACTTGGCGTTACCTTTCTTAAATATGTAATTTTTTTATTACTATTCACTCCTTTTAAATTTAAAAATTACAACAATCAAGTGAAACTATAGTTTCTCGATTCCTTATTGTTATGTGTGGTCAGGCATTGTGATGTGAAATTATGGGTACTTTATTTTTCGATAATTTGCTTCTACATAATGCAGTTGCGCCCAATAAAATAACCCCGTTTATCCTCACCACACAGTTTAATATACTTTCGAATCATATCAGAGTTTGATGTCGATGATCATTTCTTCAGCTAAATGCCATTGCCGCTTCTGCGAAAAATCCTTACATTGATTGTAGGAGCCTGTCTTGGATAAAGTTCATAAAACAAATGACAATTTCCGTCCTCAACACTTAGGGAGTTGCGTCCTAATTTGTAGTATAAGTAGGTACTCGCTACTGGGTCCACTGGACCCAGTATTATATCATAAGCTTATTCCAAAACTGCTTTATAAACGTAAATGGTTATTTTCTAATAAGGATAACGTATGTGTAAAGAAAACTATAATTGAATTAAATACTAATATTTATTGTTTTCACCAAAACAAAAGCTGTAACAAAAATATACTAAATTTCTTCATAGTTTTGTGACATGTTTTAGGCTAATCGTTATAATTTCTATAATTACTTATTTCAAACAAAATCCTCTATATTTTCTTACACAATAATTTACTTACTTATATGAAACAAAGAGGGATCAATCATCATAGAAATATTTAAAAAAATAACAAAAATACAATATCTTATTTGAAGTAAAATCACACTTTCCAATATTCTACTGACACTTTTTAAACTGTCAGTAGAATGTTGGAAAAAGCAAAGAAAAAAGCAGCGCCAACGTTGCAAACGTCAAATTTTAATAGTTAATAAACAAAACGTTAAGGGCTGGGTCTGTTGGACCCATTAGCGACTCCTTAAGTGTTAAATTTTCTGGATCCATGTTTGATATCGAGAGAGATAAGAGATCGCGCCCTCGCCCATCGTTACACATAATATATTGTGCACTAGTTCAGTTACTGTTCGACCTTTTTTTACAGAATTGGGGTGACAAACGAGCACACAGTCCACGTGATGACTAGTGGATTTTGTGGCCCATAGACATTTACATCGCTCCTCGATTCAGAATCAAAAAACTGATTTGTTTTCAATCCCGAGGACTAAGATGGAATGCCATGTTTCCAGTAAAAAGGATCCCAGCTTCTCTACTATCA